GGTTAGTCAGTGCTGCTCTTTTCTTTTGTATTTCTTTGAGCTCTTGCTTTGCTTGAGTCTCTCTTGTTTCTTTAATTTCCTTTTCATTTTGTGATAGTTTTTCTTTCATCGAGTTCTCTTTTTCATTCTTTTCTTCTAGTATTAGATTTAATTGATCAAATTTATCTTTTTTTCTTTTTAATCTTGCTTTGGCCTCTTCATACCCTCTTTTGCAGTCGAAATAAATAATGCACCATTGGTTCCCGTTAACAAATTTTTTCTGAATTGATTTGATATGCTTATTTTCTCTTAGTGACTATCTAATTGATTTTTCTCTTTGTTTAGCATTCTCTCCTAAGATTTTAACTGCTACTACCTTTGCTTTGATTTCTCCTTTTTCTCTACATGCTTCTGGCTTAGGTATCTATATACTACAATCTAAGGATGTACTACTATATCTTGACTTTCCTATCTCTACTAGTTGATCTAATCTATTTTCTATCTTGTTTTTGCAAGGGTAAATTTCTATACTATTTTCTATAAGTTGAACATCTTTCATAACTTTTAATATTTTACTTCTTTCCTTCTTTTTAGTGGTGCTAGCTACTGTTTCTCAACACTGGATATTTTGACTTGTAGTCTCAACTGATTCAATCTCTTTAGTGCTCTTTGTTTCTGTGATATATTTTTCTTCAATTCTCATTTCTACCTCTTCTACTATTTCATTCATACTACTTTGTTAGGTAATTGCTGACTTTGGTTCTTTCTCTAAAACTTCTTTAACTTTGTTTACTCCTTCTGTGAAAGCAGCTCTTTCTAGTACAATATGCTATTGCCTTGCCAAAGTAATTACTTCTTTGTTGATATTCATTACTTTTGCAACTATTTCATCAAAGTGATCTGCTAATCCTAGTACTAATGTACTATATTCTTGAATAATTTCTCACCCATACTCTTTAGTGATCTTCTTGATAAAGAATTTAGAACTCTCTCTATTCTACATCTCTATTCTGCTACTGTCTGAGTTTCTGTTGTCTTCGTACTATACTTGACTTTAAGACCTTGTGCTTTTTTCTAAATTCTCTATAACTTTTTCTTTTTATCTGTGAATTTTCTGAATTCAGACTTGCGCGCTACTTTTCTATTGGTTGTCATATGGCACATCTTGTTAGTATTTGTTGACATGTTTGTTTGTTTTTTTGTTTTTTCATGTGTTTGTATTATGTAGGCAGATCTGCAATTCAAGGTAAGACCAAATCTCCAATTTTTCAAAAAAAAGTTTTTCGTAGTAACTTTTGATGAAAAAACCTTCTAAAGTTCTACATGTTTCTAGTATCTTTCTTGTTCTTTCTAATAAAGTATCTGTATTTTGGAGCTTTCTTTCTTTTTCTTTAGAGTCTCTTGAGTTGTTTCTTAGTAGAGTTTTTGAGAAAATCTATGTTTTTCTTTAGTTCTGAAAATAGGCAAAATAATCTACAGGAAGAGTATATGTATTAAATGAAAAACAATTTGTATTTTTAAATTTTATTATCTATAATTATTTTTATAATATCTTTACATTTTAAAAAAATAAATTAGAACTGAATAAATACAAAAACATAGACAAATTTGCTTATATTAATCTATAATTTAAAAAATAGAGATTATATTTAGTTTAAAATTTAAGCTTTGAGTTGCTTATTTATTTAAAATATTATTACCAAATTATATCAAATAATTTAAAAGATCTAGTTAATCTAGTTAACTTAGTTATTTATAAATAGCAACTACTAGGATTACAAATAGCAAATATATTTTTTGCTTTAAAAAGATTTAATTTTTGTATTAGGTAGATTTGTAAAATTTTAAAAGTAAATTCTAAATTTATGATAGTTTCAAGTTTACAGAAAATTTTAATTTAGAACTTTTAAATATGAGTATATTGTTATAAAATGAGTTTTATCTGTTTTATTTTTATTATTTTATTATTAGTATTTTATTATTATAAATAATTAATTTCTTGAATATATTTTATTTAATATTAATTTTTTGATAAACTTAATAGCTAAATTTAAATTTAAGTTAGACTATCAGATCTAGCTCAATAAGATCTTTCTAACAAGCTATAAATTATATATTACAGATATGTAGTTATTGAGTTATCTTAGAAACAATAATAGGATAAATTACCTTTTCTATCTTTTCTAAAAAACTATATAAACCCTTCTTTTTCTTTTTACTTCAGATTAGATTTGTCCTCTACAATCTCTTTAATATTAGAATTCTCTTAGTACAGAAACTAATAGATAGTCTTGTATTATCAATATTGTATCATAAATAAAATATAATCTTTGCTCTTTCATTAACTTTATAATAAACTACCATAATAAAATAATATTCTACTTAGATACTATTGAAAGTTTTTCTTCTATATCTTAGATATTAAGAAAGCTAGCACTTGTAACAATATGATTAAGTGAATTCTATTAGTTCTGTATATTCAGAAAAATTGATGATGACAAAAATAATTATGCAAGAATATATGAAAAATCCAATACTAGTTCTAAAAAAAATAGTTTTAATTTTTTAAAAGAATTTATCAATCACATGATATACATAGCAAACTCACAATGTATGGAATTACTTAAAATACAAGAACGATGAATAATTGATGGAGTTTCAGTATGCAGTTAACAAAAGCTTTTAGAAATATTTAAGAAAATTTAAAAACTTACTTGAAAGGCTAAAATGAAAATACTTAAAGATATTTATATGAATTATCTGATATTCACGATTATGCAAAGCAGACTAATCTTCTATTGCAAATCTAGGATTATCTAGAAAGAAAGTGTTTCAGAAGGCGATATTTACGGTGTCATGTCCTATGTTTATCCAGAAGTTATATGAATTTACACAAACAGTTGATATTTATAGCTTTGGTGTCTAAAGGCCTTTGATGAACGTGATTCCAATATCAAACTTGCAATTGAGATTAATCGTGGATTACGGTCAGAATTTGCTTCCGGAACTCCTGAATACTTATATTGAATTAGCTCAAATGATTATTACATTTATAAAATAATTGATTTGTACAGTGCTTTTCGAAGCTGAGTTTGTTAAAATTGTTTAACCGTTTCTTCATAGAATTGAATCAACCAGCTAATCTGATGAATGTTTATTTTCACTAATTAATCTGGGTTACCCGGGTAGTAGTAGGTTGACGTTACCCGGGTGACTCTTATACGGGTACGTATAAGTTGAAAAACATGTGACTGCGACCTCGATTATTGGATAAATTAGTTATCATTATCTGATTAGTAGATCGGGCCGGAACACTAATTTGAATAATTAATAAATATTAGACTTTATACTCATTAGTTAAATAGTTCATTTTTTAAATACGATAATTAACTAAATTAACGCGATTAAAATAATATTAGATTAATGACATTGTTTAATGGTAAAATTCAAGAATTTTTATTAGTAATTTTATCGGTATATACTCACCAACGAAATAAATGATGAGAGGATTACACAACCTTAGCGACATCTATATAACTATTTATCATAATTGATTGGTTCAGATTATTTTACTGCTTCGATGTTTTAAAATTTTTTTTTTTTTTTAGAAAATTCTTAGTAACTTTTTAAAATATGACACCACTTATAGATCTCGTTTTGTGAAACTTAGATATTCATAGGTACTGATCAATTAAATTTTCTCTAACTCAAAAACCAATACGAAAACTAGTAAACTTCTATTATTATAATTTATTTAATAATATCAGATATATAGTTATCAAATACCTTTTCTAAACTTTACTTATTAGGCAAATTCTACCGGTACGTAGTTAAAAAAAAGCTGCTTCTTTTTTACAAAACTTGCACAAATCAACTAATTGATTGATGCAGAATATCCCGAGAAAGTTAAAAAGAAATACGTAGCCAATAAAATACCCGATTACATACATATTAATTACGTATAGATTGTCTCTTGGCATCACTAATGCGATAATACTTCTTTTATTTATTTTTTTTTTAATCTTGCAATAAAACTTTATTTTCAGGTTTTTGTCTGATGTCTGGTGCGTAAAGTGAGCTATAGGCCTTTATATTGATTAAAATTAATACAGTAATAGGGGATGATAATAAAAATGTAAATATCAGAATTTCATGATGAAAATATTAGGCATTAACAGCATTAAAGGGGTAATATATGTAAAGATGTGGAGAATACGTACAGTAAATAAGCAATTAAATGATCCTTTTGTAAGCACAGTAGTCGGCCGTATGTTTCATGTATTTGTTCACATTTAGATAATCATAACCATAAATAGAAAATAAGTTCAAAATTTAATTAAATCAAATATCAATATCGATATCCATTTTTTTTTTATTCTTCCGAGTCTTTGTTTTTTTCTGATACTCAAACAGGTTAATTTTTCGTCATTTACACAGCGTTTTTTTTTTAAAAAAAAAAAAATAATAATAATACACTTGTGAAAAATGACAGCAATAACACTTCCATCAGAATTATTAATCGAAGTTTGTAGTTATTTACCACCATCAGATTTATATTCATTATCATCAGTATGTAAACGATACAGAACAATATTATGGTCAAGCAAATCTGCCACAACACAAGCGATTTGGCGTACATCCAGGCGTAAATTTGCACCATACCTTATATCACCACCACCTAATGATATGTCAGAACAACAATATATTTGGATGATGGTTTTATTACAAAAATGTATGTTTTGTGATGAAACCGATAAAAAGAAGTTAACTATGTATTTTGAGTTTAGAATGTATTGTTGTATTAGGTGTTTAGCTCAACGAACTATTAGGTAATTTTTTTTTTTTTTTATTATATCACGTAAATTTTGTTGTAATGTAAAATTGAAAAAAAAAATTACATGATTATAATGACACGAAAATTAAAATCTAATAATTGTTTTGTTATATGCAAATTTAATAGTAAAGACACGTTAATTAAAGAATGGGAAGTTCCAACGGACCTATTAGAATGCATGCAATCATTATCACCAAATGCTTTACATCCACAATTATTTTTAATGAAACAAATGAAAAGAACTCTTTATGATTTTAGTTTAATAAGAAAAGATGAGGATAAAATGGCGTGGATAAAAGAAAGACGTGAAAAAGTTAGTAAATTACAACCAATTTTTCGAGAGTATAATACTCAACATGATAATGGAAAATATAATTACAAAGAAAGGTTAGAAAGACTTTTTAGAACATTAAATATGTCTACAGAATATCCTTATAGGCGCAATATGTCTTTTCTCGATTATTGATTAAGTAAATATTAAGAGATTGAGATGTTATAAATAGGAAAGTATTTGAATAGCATACATTTAAAATAAAAATGTTGGATAACTATAGAAATAATATTAGGGATTACCATAATAATAACGATAGATGTTATTTTGTTTTATTAATTTGAGATTAAAAAAAAAAAACGTAAAATTGGTTATTCTCTGATGCAAGACTTACTCGAAAGAAACGGCAAAACACTGGTTTAATAATATACTTATATAAAAGATTCGAGAATCGAAAAGTTATCAGTTAAGAATAATTACTTATAACATTATACTAATTAACTTAGCGTTAGTACTTCCGTAAGGTATACTGCGTTTAAATATTCAACAAAATACAGAAAAGATGGGATAATTAATTGGGCAAAAAAAAAAGATTAGGGATTACAAATGTATTAATGTAGTTTTTGGTGGTTTATAATACGGTAAATACATAGAAAATCTTAGAAATTATTCTAAAAGTGAACTAATTAAAATTAAAAAAAAAGTTGGTAAAATGAGAATTCATTCAATTATAATATTGCATCACGTGTTTTCCAATCAAATATGCCTATTATAAAAATATTATTATATGTCCTGATCCATATCATAGGATTTATCAATTTTTACTGATAGATGCCTCTGAGGCTTCGAAAATGACACCGTTCGTCTTTTTCTAAATTCACGAGTTTGGCGCTTTTGTCTTTCTTCTTGACGATTCACGAATGTTTGAACTACCATTGCAAAATATGCCTATCATAAAAAGGGATTGTTTTGATCAGATTTAGATTATTTATGTAAAAAAAAAAGTAAAAAGAATTATCTTTACATGAAATGCAATCTGAAGAATCGCAAACATAACAATCCAAACGACGATAGTATCCGTTGTTTGCGTGCTAACAGAACTTTGGTTTCGTTCGAGGATCGTATGAGAGATCACGAATAAAATTACTAATACAGTATTAACAAACACAGCAATTAACCAAGCGGCATATTTGTACGTTCGCAGTAGTGAAATTGATTTCTAATTAAGAAAAAAAAAAAAAAAAAACAATATAATCGTGTTATTCAGTGCTTTACTAAATTTAAATAATATTAATATTAATAATAATTATAATGATAAATGCGCACATCTGAACGATAAGAAATGAGACCAAATCCACTTAACAACATGAGAATAATTGAATAAAAAAATATGAGTATAGTCAATGGTTTGTAGGATAATGCTATAGTATAAAGAAAGTGGTTAATAATTTAAATTAAAGTTCCAAAAAATGATATTATGCTAAACCTACCATTGTTATTGGACCATAATATGTAGAATACTATAGCAAGAATCAACCCCTCTATCTAAAAAACAAAATAAAAAAAAAGATTAGCTTGTAGAAAAAAATGAATAATGAATTTTTTATAAAATTCTCGACAACCATTTCATCAACAAAAATGTACTATCAGACCAGACTTTAGCATTAAAAGTTAGAAATACTGCCTTTTTAACTAGCTTTTTTGATCAATTATCGTTCCATAATAAGTTTTAAATAATTTGATTAGTATTAGGAACTAACATTTGATAAAATTTAATCAATCATTCTCTATTCAAATATTGGTCGAAGTAGTTAAAAAGAACAATCTTTTGTTCAAAACATGTTAATTAAATCTAATATATTGAAACTAGATTTTTAATTTATTCATCAATAAAATAATGAATCTATGAATAAAAGTTATCGAGAATTTATTATTATTGTGTAGTTAATATTTAATTGAATTTAATTACCAGCCAAGCCAAACTTGTAATTATGAAACCAATTCTTAATCCTATACAAAAACAAAAATGTTCGTCCTCTTGTTTCTTTGAACCCATTTTAAAAAAAAAAGTTATAATATATTTTATAAAATTTTTATTAGAATAACCATATATATTTCAAAGAAATCGTTAAATATATATATATATTCTTAAAAGGATGTAAATTTTGAATAGATTCGATTTGATTCCAAGTTTATAAAGAAATTCTAGAGTGAACTTTTGGTACGTGTTGTTGCATTAGATATAACATTAAAAATATACCAAGTTATTTTTTTAATAGATTTTAGAACGGATTTTCCGATGTATTGAAGATTACTTGAAGATTACATATTAATGAGAATCTTAATTTCCGAACATCGGAATCCAAACTCTGAAAATCGATGCTTTAATAATAAGAAATTTGAGTATATCTATCACATGTATATTGTGATGATGTCTTTATTTACATATTATTTTGAATATAAAAACGTACGTAAATACTTGTTTTCTATACAGTATCAATGTACTAAATTGTATGTTTACTTTACATTTTTATATGAAAAAAAAGTATTCTTAAAAAAGGAATCCAAATTATAATTTCCGTTAAGGGGAGTAATAGTTATATCCTGGGTTAGTTGGGTATTTTGGTGTACAGTAGAGTATAATGAAGTAGATTGGCTGCGTAAGCAGCCAAATACGTCATTATGCTTTACACCAAAGTTTCGCTTTACCCAACAACTCAGGATATGTAATAGTTATATACTGGGTGTCTTGGGAATGAAATTCCGCTTATAAACAAAAAACCCAGTGTATACGTAACTGATTTATGCCCTGCGATCTTGATATAGTGATCAGGGTATAATACGTAATACGTATCTCTAGGGGGGTCCAGAAATTTTTTTTCATATTAGAAATATAGTAAAAAAATCTTACGTGGGGGTAAGAGTATGATAAAATTATATTACGTAATATCTGTGACTCCCCTAAGTACGTAATTTTGTAATAACGATAACAGATAAATACTTTTTATATTTCATTTAATACGTATAAGATATGCAAAGGTCAGTGCAAACGGAATTTATGCAGGGTTTAAATGTTGAGAAATAACCAAAATGCATAATCGTTAAATATAACATAACGACAACATCAAACTATTATTTGTATTTATCAAATAATTTCTATAATTGTCTGTTTTGTTTTTTCTTTTCTTTCTAAAAAAAGATTTAAATGCATACACTATCGATTAGTGGTGCTGGCGATAGTGTTTGTAGTCGATTTGGCTTTAGTTGATATGTTTTTTGTATAGGAAATCGGTTTTAAATATCAGCTTAGTAGAGTTGATAACGACCACAAGCAGATTACAAACCAATAAGATGAGTTTATATATATAGAACTATGCATATATGCGGATATTTAAATTATTGAACCGGGTAAATAACAATAGTTCAAAGGTCCAAATAGTGACATTAACAACTGAAAAAGGTTCATATCCAGAGTTGACGGGCAACTCGTATAAGGTCCGTTAACCTGGTCAACCTATTGCTAACCAGGTGGTGACCCGTATTAATAATTGTACGAGGGAACATATGTTAACAATTTTTATAGCTTGAAAAAATTCTACAAATCAAGAGGTAGTCATATAAGAATTACTTTTTTATTTCATTTTTTCATCTTAAGAATGCCATTTTTGTTAAACCAGTTCGTAATTATTTTATAATGTAATAAACATTAATCGTCTTTGTGAATCGGAGTCCATACACTGCTTAGCTAATTCAATATAGAATTCAAGAGATTCAGAAGCAAATTCTGGCCATAATTTACGATTAATCTCAACTGCAAGTTTGTCATTAAAATCACTTATATTGCCACTGTTGTAAAAAAAGTAAATATTAGCGTTCATATGTTATTAAGTTTGAGAAATAGATAATGCTAATAAAATTTATTGCATTAGCTGTTTCTATAAAATTAAAGTTAAAAAAGGGTGAAGGAAGACCGTTTGTTTCAAAAATTTGCCAAGATGGAGCATATTACTATATTACTGTATTATTGTATTACTGCAGTACTGAATTACCATTAGGTTCGCTATTAAAAGGGGGAACAGAGTTTTTTATTATAGATGAATTAGCGTAATGTTTATTTTTTATTGTTTTATCTTTACATGTTTAATCGTTTCTAATGAATTTGGTCTTGAATAATTGGTTAAGCATATTCAATACTATTAATTGAGAATAATGCTCCTTGGTTACGTTTAAAATTTGCTCGAATTTACTAAGCTAGCTTCAAATATAACAATCTTGATGCTTTATAAAACTTCTGTGCTAATATTATCGCAAAGTATCCAAATATTGTTTTTGATTCTGAAGAATTCGTTAATCATTCAGAAAATATAAATCCTTATCTTAAAGCTTGATAATAATTTACAAATAGATGAAGGATTGATTTGGGATTATACACAAAATCCTTCTTTAACTCCTAATCCTGAATAGTAGCCTGATGCAAAACTCTTAACTATGAAAAAGTTCGACCTTATCAGAAAATTCTTGATACCAATTTATAAACAGAAATTTATGATACCGACCAGGCCATTACTTCTCAGATTTTACCTCCTAGTAATTCTTTATTAACATCACTATTTTCACGGCTTGATCAAACATTAACTATAATATAAATAAAGATAAAATTGAACAAATTTTATTTTTAAATGAAAAGTTATAATGAAACATTGTAGATTTAAATAAAGTATTAGAAATTAAACTAAACAATAAATTCACATTAGGATTAATCGTTATTTCATGATGAACAAATATGAAGAAGCACTTGCTGATTTAATAGACAGGGTTAATAAAACTATCAGAATATCGATCGTATGTATATGAAACTTGGTAAGTAGTAACAGAATTTTAAGAACTTTACATAATTTTCGGCTACTCATAGTATGTTTTAAATTTATAAAGATTTACAACATAATTAATTATTTGAAGTTAGTGTTCTCTGTCCAGTATGCGCCTGTTCGGAGTTCAAGACCTAGGGTGAGGTAACTGATCACTTTGTATAAGGGAATCTACTTGATATATATACATCTGAGTGAAAAATTTCTCGCAGTGAAGTATATGAAGCAATCCAGTCAACTATTGCCTATATTTAAACAATATCAAGATTATGAGTACTCAAACTAGAAAATACAGATGGGAGGCTCTACTTCGACGTAGCATCAAAG